CCTTATGTTTGAAGTATCCGTGTTGATTCTGATCATGCCTTATGTTTGAAGTATCCGTGTTGATTCTGATCATGCCTTATGTTTGAAGTATCTATGTTGATTCTTATCATGCCTTATGTTTGAAGTATCCATGTTGATTCTTATCGTGCCTTATGTTTGAAGTATCTGTGTTTAAAATCTGGTAACATTTATGATTTACTGAATTTTTAAAATTGGAGATGCAAAAATGGTAATATACTGCTATTGGGCTGAAAAGGGTTAAGGCTGATTAATACTTGATATACTCATAAATTGTTCTGTAAATAAGTAATGCAGACTTGACAATCTTTTTTTTGCTTTAAAAATGAAGTGAAAATGATTTTATTTTTAATCCTATAATTCCATTTTAGCGTACATTGCCAAATAAGAAAAATACACAAACACAACTAAACAGAACGTTTTTAATATAAAAATAAAGAAAGGAAGGATAAGTACCTTGGGCATTTTTCATAGCTGCCATTCTCAACTGATGCAATACTTGGGCTGGGAATGCAGGTGTTGGAAGTAGCCCACTCTTATTTCTAGTTTTGGAATCCTGAACAATAACAAATTAAAGAAGCTATTTGTGACAGTTTAAATAAAAACTATAAATATAAAATATACAAATTCTATGTTTTCAACTTAAAACCAAACCCTAATTACAACAATTCTTTAAATTCACATCAAGATTAAAATATTTTTAATGTTAACAATAAAATTACTATAATACACAAATTCCACAGATTACAGATATTATTTTTTAAAAAATGTTTTACTTGCTTTGCCCTGAATAACCTTAATATTTATTCGGAGTTACCCACAGAATACTGAAGGTACAATTAAGATACGTGTCCAAACCTCTGGCTAGTGATAAAACATTCTCCTCTCCTAACAGTTTTCAATTAAAACTTAAAGAAGTATTAAACAAAGTATTTTTTAAGGATTAATCTTTTTCTTTTCCATAACAATTCCAAAAGGTAAAACTTTAAAAAAAAAAGGTACATTCAATCCAATAAAGTAATTAGAATTTCAGAAATAGAAATTTCAGGGGACAATTTTTTCAGATTTCTAACATAATATACCTATGTAAATTAACTCTTAGTTTCAAATTAGTAGGTTGTTCAACATACAATTTTTCACAAGTAGAACATCTGAAAAAATAAGTTACATTGTTGTATTACAATAAAAAGAACCTTTCAACTTAAATAATTCCAACCCTTTTTGGTCCAACAGTTAAATTTCCTGGTTGGAAAATTTTCACTTCTTGTCCAACTGAAACTTCTATTTATTCTGGGCAATTGGATAATCATTGATGTTGAATCTTGCAAATTTAAAAGTGGAAAAAAACAATATTTCCATCTTTAAAAGATTATTATTACATTTTTCTAGTTCCAGAATGTAGCTCTTTCATCATAACATCAGAAAACACATTACTTTGCAATTTCTTTCCCAAGTACAAGCACATAAACCAGTAAAGATCAGTTTTCTTACCATGTCAGCCACCAGTTTGTCAAACAGCTTCACTGCTGTAAATCCTGGCTGACCAAATGAGACTCTCAGTTTCTGGCCTCCATGTTCTCGTCCATCAAACTTTTTCTGGGTCTCATCGGCATCCTTTTGGTTTGCAAACTCTACAAGACCAAACCTTGCTGATAGTTCATTTCTCAAGGATAGCTACAAATAACAAGTTTGAAAACTCTTAACTATTTGTCTACTGTCACAAAACCTGAATAGTTTAGTGTTATTCTTAACTTTCAAACATTACATTTTTTCTGTTAACCAAATATAAGGAATTTCTTCCAGATTATTTTCTTCAAAGCTAAAGCCATTAATTCTTACACTAATTTCAATTACACTTAGTTATTAGTACCATCAGAATTTTTTACACGAGTCTCATGGGGCACAATATTCACAGTGATATTATTTACACGAGTCTCATGAGGCACAATATTCACAGTGATATTATTTACTCGAGCCTCATGGGGCACAATATTCACAGTGATATTATTTACTTGAGCCACACGGGGCATAATATTCACAGTGATATTATTTACTTGAGCCACACGGGGCATAATATTCACTGATATTATTTACACGAGTCTCATGGGGCACAATATTCACAGTGATATTATTTACTCGAGCCTCATGGGGCACAATATTAACAGTGTCCCACTAACACCGGGAGTTAACTTCATAGCAAAGACTATAATAATATAAATCACTGTACGTCAACAGCAGCAGGCAACACAGGTGCTAAAACGCTCTTTGTCCAAAATGACCAGATTTGTACACTTCTCATACACTGGACATACTTGGGATCTGGTGATTATCTTCCAAAGAACTTTTGTTGAACCCTTTTCAAATCATAACAAAATTCAGCAATATTCCTTGTATGGTGTGGGATGTCATGATAAACAATTACAGCTGGTGGTATTTGAATAAATGGTCACTGTTGCTCTGTACATCTCAATTCTCAAGCAAGACCTTCTCCTATCCACACCAATGACCAGTTTAATAAACAATGAGAGTTTTCATGAAAGATGAGGGTTCTGCTCATTCAGCTCAAGTCACTAAACGAAGAGAAATATTACTCTTCTGTGATCAGACCAATCATTGGATATGAACTCTTTCAAGCACGTGGTCCATTCTTGATCATTCCAAACAACCAACTTCTAGAGTCTTCCTTACCCAAGATTTTCAATAAAAGTGGGATTCAATCCCAGATTTCACATCTTGTAAGCACAACATGTAATTTTATTTCCATCTTAGATATTGTAAAAGACAGATCCACTAAATGTCAATCATAATTTTATGGCTTTCTTTCTGGTATGGGTAGTCTGTTCATATAAAATGTCACATGCTGCTAACGTTTGAAAGTTGTACAGAATTTGTAAATGATGGAAATTCTCTTCTCAGAAAAAAACAAAACAAAGAAAGCTAAACTTTTCAAAAGCTGTTACTCCTGCAAGAAAAAAAAAATTTCGTGCCTAACTACAAGACAAGCGTTACCCCCTTCTTAAAGCAGTTCAAAATTTTTATCCTAACAAAGTTCCAGTGTAACCAAACAGGAACTTATGTTGTAAGTAAAATTAGCTACAGAAACTGTCATAGCTAGAAGCACCAATTTAGACGATACCATAAATGTCCGACCGTCTTGGAGATCTAATGGAGATAGAATAACTACAAGAAAAAAAACCTTATACGTGAATGCTGTATGTTATTCAGCAGATGGTGAATGTCTGTAAAATATTTTGGTAGATTCTAGAAGATGCTCACTATCTGTTGATTCTACTGTTTCTTTATCTGAAAGAGATAAACCTAGTGATTGTAAACTATTTAAATAACATTTCAGATAAACAAATTGTAACAGTATTACAGTGTAAAGATGTTACAGACTTATAAACAATATTGGCAAAAATGTGATACATTATTTGTATAGTTTATAAAAATATGATGCATAACTCTGAAAATTTCATCTCAAATTCCAACAGTTGTGATTGCTGCAACTTGTCCTTAAAAGTGATAAATGCAAAAGGATTCCCTGAACCCTTACAACATGTACTTAAATGTTGGTAAACAGGAAATGTTTCTCTGAATCCTTACAACTTGTACTTAAATGTTGGTAATAAGGAGATGTTTCACTGAATCCTTACAACTTGTACTTAAATGTTGGTAAACAGGAAATGTTTCTCTGGATTCTTACCACTTATATTTAAATGTTGGTAAACAGGAAATGTTTCTCTGAATTCTTGCTGTTTACCAACATTTAAGTACAAGTTGTAAGGATTCAGTGAAACATCTCCTTATTACCAACATTTAAGTACAAGTTGAAAATGTTTCTCTGGATTCTTACAACTTATATTTAAATGTTGGTAAACAGGAAATGTTTCTCTGAATTCTTGCAACTTGTACTTAAATGTTGGTAATAAGGAGATGTTTCACTGAATCCTTACAACTTGTACTTAAATGTTGGTAAACAGAAAATGTTTCTCTGGATTCTTACAACTTATATTTAAATGGTGGTAAACAGGAAATGTTTCTCTGAATTCTGGCAACTTGTACTTAAATGTTGGTAATAAGGAGATGTTTCACTGAATCCTTACAACTTGTACTTACCTGGCAGTAAATAGGAGTAGCAATTTCACTAAAAAATTTTCTAAAACTTGTGAGATCTCGGAAGTCAGCAGGCAACCTGGTGACAAACAAACATCGGGAGTAGAGACTTGAATAGGTGATTAACTTGTGGTCCAACCATTCACAATAAAGAAATCCTGAATCCAGTTGCTTAAGGTTCAACAAACTTTTAGCTTGACATGCTACAGCTCTGCTGCAGTACTCCACCAGCCCATAACCTTTACTTTGATCTGCGAATGAAAATATTTAGTATCAGAATAGAGCATAAAGAAGGAGATGGTTAAAACAATAAATAAGTCATATTATTCTCTTAACATCTATTAACTATACGATTTAGGTAAGTAAGTTTGTTTTAAAACACATTAATAGATGTTCAGATTACTAAATGAATAACTCTATATGAAATTTATGTTGTACATGTATATGTAGTTTAACGAAATGCACAAATGGCAAATAAAGATCTGTAGGTTAACTTTATAAACCCAGG